GCTCCCAACCTAATCTCGCTCTTTCAACGAACAACACCTCTGAGCCGCGAGTCAGACACGACGGACAACATTCTTGCATCTTCACAGTCAGGATTCCCAATCTGACATAGGCATTCTCCTTCTGCACAAGCAGTAGATTGATTGTGGACGCAGACCCGAGTGGGCTTCTCGTAACGACGAACCAAGCGCCACTGGCTACTGTGCACTGGCAGGCTTAGTGCGATCGAGTTGACACTTGAGCATCTTTTGTCGCCTGGTCAAGCGGAACAAGCACCGCACCCCCACGAGCTTGGATGAAAGCGCAGTGAGTGCAAATGCAGGGGGTATACACACACACACACACGAAGGCAGAGGAAGAGAGGGGAGAATAAGAGCAAACAGAGTCGCCTCGCGGGTACTGTGCAAACGTGCAAACCAGGAGGGAGAGGAGCATCATGGGATTACATGGAAAGCAGGTTCTGATTCACTTACTCTTCGTTCCGTATTGCCTGCCGCTTTGTCTTCGCTTGCGCACTCGCACTCGCACGACAGAACGAAGATGGGTCGCAAAAAGATCAGGATCCAGCGCATCGATGATGATCGCAATCGATCCGTCACTTATCTCAAGCGCAAGGCGGGTCTCATGAAGAAAGCTCACGAACTGGCAGTCTTGACGGACAGCGAAGTGGCCGTCATCGTCTTTTCGCACAACGGCAAATTGTCGCAATTTTGCAGCGGCGACATTGACAGGGTGCTTCTTCGATATACAGATGTGAGTCGAGTATCGCAAGTCACGCTCCCACATCGCGCAGACACTGTGCGCTGACATTCGCGACTGACCGTCGATGAGTAGCACAACGGCCCAATGGACCACAAGGGACCCGACTTCTTTTTCAGAAAAGCTGCAGAAGCGGGCTCGGACGACGACGAAGATGAGGAAGAGGAAGACGTCAAACCCATGAATGCTCGCAGGCGAGATGATGCTGACGACGATGGCGGTGGAGGAGGAGGAGGAGGAGGAGGTATAGCGGGTGGAGGTGCGGGCCCATCGAATGGACACGACGCTGGTACTCTGAATGGCACTCCCTCTGCAGCGGGATCGGGACAAAAGCGCAAATCTTCCGGCGCAAGCAGAGGATCAGGTAAGAAGGGCAAGCAAGCTGCCGATCCAGGCGGAGCGTCGGGCGCGGCAGAGGCGTCTGGCTCGCTCATGCCTGCACCTCTTGCTGGAGGGAAAGAACGTGTGAGAGCTGCCATCATGTCACGCAAAGGCTCAAAGGACGGCCTTGGCAAAGCGGAAGAATCCACATCGAGCAGCAGCCCCGCCAATTCCAGCCCTGTCGCTGCCTCCTCTTCCACAAGTACTGGTGCGCGTCACATGCTGCCGAATCGGACACCCTCACAACCTTTTGCTTTCAACCTCGACGCTTCGGGCCAATTTTCGCAATCCGAGTCCGTTTCGCGGCCCAGCACTGGCAATCCTTCTTCGCACAGTGCAAATATAAATGGGCCTAGCTACGGAGAATTGGCTGCTGGCAGACCGGCAACCGCCAACGCCGCTTTTGGATCTGGCGACCCTCATGTCGCTGCAGCTGCTGCGTATGGAGTCAACATGGCCCGTCTCATGCCTCCTCTGAACCCCCTGCTCCAAGCTCATCCACAAGCGGCGCACTACGAGCGCCAAAGGATGGAGCAGATGAGGGGTCATCGTCACAGCCACAGCGCTGCGCAGTACTCTGCAAAGATGCAAAACGCCTCACCTTACCTCGCATCTGGCCCCTCGCCCTCTGCTTCCTCATCGTCATCCTCAACAGACGCGTTGACTGGCCAACTGGGTCCTTATCCTACCCTCGGACCAGTCGCCAATCACAACGCCCCAGCTCAACCGCGCATGCACGGACAACAAGCGCCTCCTCCCTATCCTCACGCCGAAAGGTCTGTAAGTGACAGCGTCTTCTCCACATCGGCCACAAACGATGGCGCTTTCAAACCACCGATGAGGAAAAGTCAAACAGCGCTCTTCCCTGCTCAACACCAGCACCACCACCAGCAACAGCAACAGCACGCAGGATCATCAGGGCCGCTTCTGGACGACAGCGGGATCAATGCGCTCTTGGAGCAAGCTCTATCGACGTCCGAAAAGGTGGGCAGTGCTCATGGGCACACAGGCGCCGGCGTGCATGCTGCGAGTGGCGGATTGCAGCACTTAAACGGTATGCACGCTGCGCACACTACTGGCACGGACGAGTACGC